CTTGCACAGTATTTGAACCTCCTGAAGGCCCCTTTATGTATAAAGATTTGCAGGGATCCACTCATCTTGTTGTCGCCCATGACAAGCCTCATATGTAAGTGCCCTCTGCTCACTGACACTGCCACCTACCAACCTGGAGTAACCGGCCTCCTTGGATCTCTCCCTGACCTACATGTTGAGGGCAGGGGGCGAGGGGGGGGGGGGAGTGGGGGAGGCAGTGTCGGATTACACCCAGGAAGCTCTGAGACAGCTGCCAACCAACACGGGTCACAACACTTTAGGTCACATGCTTTCCTTGGTTGGAAACTCAAGCAGAAGTCATCTTTCTGCTTCTACCCAGGAGCCTCATAGTTCATCTCTCAGTTCCTGTTTGCTCTAAGGATGATCCCCTCCCTTAAGAAGAGACTCAAGCCATCTCCTTTCCTCCAGCAACCCATGGTACCATGTGGTCTTGGTGGAACACCATCAAAATACAGAATAACCAGCCCATTTCTGAACAAGAGATACCCATATACAGGGTCAGAGACCATCAGTTCTCAATAAATGTTTGCTGAATGGTTGTAATGATAGCCTATTTCTGTTATTTTCAGAAGCCCAGGAATCTGCAGAAGTATTTCACCACAAGATATGACCTAGTTTTATATTTCTGGGGGGAAATGAAATTTGGAGTGAACAAATAAGATCAAGAAGCAAAAAAAAAAAAAGCCAAAAGCAACCCACGGAAGACTCCAAGATGAACAAGATAAATCTATCTTCAAAGATGTATATTTAAAGCTGGGAACATAATTCACCTGAACTGGAAATGTGTTAAGACTGAGTAAAATGCATGTGGAGACAGGTGTATCCATACCTCAGGGACCTCCCCAGGGATGGACCTGCCCATCCAAGGAGTGAGAGGAAGGGATACTGTATCTCCCTTGTCTCTGAATCTTTATATTGCTGTAATGTTGCCCTAAAATCCCAGAACGTTCTGACTGCAATAGATCCACATCTTCTACTCTATGAATTAAACTGCAGTGGGTATAATATGAAGCTGCCAATTGGGTGTCCCTTCACAATTCAGAGATGGCTGAATTTTAGTGATGGGTCAAGTCACTTTTCATTAGGATGACCCAAGAGCGCCTTGGAATCTCCTTCCACCTGACAAATGCTAAAGAAATGTGGAGAAGGTCATAAATGTAACACAAAAATTATGACACGGATTTTCTAAATTACCTGAGCCTCTTGTTTTTAAAACAAACAAATGCCATTACATTTCCCAGATGATGTTCATCCTGAACGGTCCGGGAAAGGACCTCTCACCATCACTGTATATAGGACACTGTATCATCACGAGGTGTCAGGCTTCTGCTTTGTATCCTGTGTGGACGGCGATGACCTCAACTCTCAACAGCATCTAGAGCATGCTCAGCTACTCAACGATGGTGATTTTTCACACCCATCCCCACACACAGGGGACATCTGGATATGTCTGGAGACAACTGGAGGTGTCACAACTCGGGGGAGAGGGGAGGGTGCTACTGTCACGGATAGAACTCAGGGAGGTTGCTCAACATCCTACAATGTACAGGACGACCACCCACAACAAAGAATTACCTGGCCCAAAACGTCAGTCGTGCTGTCACAAGAAGCCCTGATGCAGAGTAGACAAGGATCTAGAAAAGAGGGGAGCAAACAAAGCTGTTTGCTTCCCACAAACAGGCCCTGTCCTCGGTCTCAGCACAGAGGTGTCAGCACAGACAGCCAGAGCTCAGTGTCAGGCAATCAGGCATTCCCGATGGGGTTGTCTTCAGCTGGGTCCTTTCCCTCTGTCCTAGTGTACAAATCAGGCTCTGTGAGATCGGCCTGCACTCCATCTCAAGTTCTCGTGCTCCAAATTTGGAGCTCAGGACCCTGCCTGGTCACACTTCAAATTAAGGCAACAAAAACATGTACCTTCCTTGAAACACACAGAGACTTCTGAAAGCAGGGGCGATGAACCTTTGAAGTGAGACCCTGAGGAGTGAAGCTCTGATCGAAAAGAATGTTCTGTTCACAACCCCCCTGCCCATACTCTTCATGTGTTGACCACTGGCCTCCCGGCACTTTGGACCCACCGTGACTGTATTACATTTTGTTATAGAAAACTTGATTTTTGAGTTCTGACCATTCAAGAGAATGATTAAATATGCATTTCCTATGCTGTTGTCTGTCTGGTCTGTCAAACAAAGCGAGTGTAAGGGAAGATGGATAAAAAGCCAGGGATCAAGTTCTGAAGATTAGAACGTAGCACATAACAGGCCTTCAACAAGTGTTTGCTGAATGAAAAGATAAATGAATAGGATGTGAGCACGGGCCAACTGGCTGGGACTAGTTACTTGAGGAAAGTCTATAGGCTTTACCAGCCTGCCATGTCTCTATCAGGGAAAGGTTTCAGTGGCTTGAGGCAGATCAGTTTGGGAGAATACATAAAGGTGGACAAACCCATTGCTCTAGTGTCAAAAAATCTGATTTTTACTATTCAGGAAGTATCCAATTCTAAATCTTAGAGGTTGGAGGACTTCAAAATCGTCTTTCCTAATCTCTTCACTTTTCAGATGAGGACCCAGAGGCCCAGGGGGAAGTGTGGATAATTGGCTATCGTCAGGTTACGAGACTTGACAAAAACTGCACTGGTAGTTGTTAGAGGGTTAAAATCTATAGAAAATTTAATTGCCAAAGGACACATTCTCAGGAAACTTTCAGAACGCTTCCCTGTTGTATTTCTAGCTTGGTCCCAATAGGCCTTCTGCAAGAGGAGACCAATGCCGAAGCAAACTGAGAGAGCAAACCGTGAAAGCATAAACACTCCCAACCCAGGTTCGTTCTCTGGCCTTGTCCATGAGCACACGGCAGATGCGTCAGACAACAGATGCATCATATCCACGAAAGCGCAAAGACCAGACTATGATACACACCGCAGACATCTGGGGAAGCTCACATTTAGATGCCAAAGGTTAAAACATGTCGGAAATATTAACACATTTGACCGACCAAGTCAAACTTCAGTGGACGTACTGGCTCCCAGCTCTACCCAGGCTGTTTGAAGATTTAAGCGCACGGTGGCCTCTGTACGTGCATTGTTAATTGGGGGAAGGGGTGTTCGTGGTTCACTACTGCATAATAAAACTTCTGCCCGATGGTATATGCAGTGTGCTTTGGTTCTATTGATGAAATGTAACTCACCAATCTCCCCCCGGCTGATGAAGTCTCTACCCATCCAACTGGCTGCTCTAATTGAGACGGTCTTACAATGTGCTCGAGCTCCTGGTTCCTCTTAACTTTGTCTTAGTTTCTCTTTCACATCAGTCATCTCCAGGAGCTTCAGTATGAAAGCCATGAGTGAGAATTTACAAGTCACAAAAACAAAGGCTTAGCTATGCTCTCTCCTGTCTTTCTTTAAATCCTACTTAGCCTCCGGCAAAAATTCTTCCCCCATGAAGCTGTTTCTGAGCAGTTCTACACGCCACGATTTTACTCTCACCTTTATACATGCAATTTAGCACAAAATCACACACTGTTTTGTCTATTGGTTTTCACTGCTGTGTACTTGGACTCCCTCGAAGATGATGACAAAATAAGGATGGGGGTCCAGGCAGCCCTTGGAAGGCTGCTATTAAAAGAGGGCCAAGCGGATAAACCCAGGAAGGCTTGCTTCCTGATGGTGTTTGCTGGGACAAAGCAGTTAAATCGCAGCCTAGAAGGGGGGTCTGCAGTAATCACTACAGGAGCCCAAGTGCTCACTGAAAGGTATGGCTCCCCAGGATAATGGTATGTCTGTGTCTTCTCAAAGTCATAGCCTGACCTTCAGCATTATCTCATCTCTCAGCACAAATCTAACTGTCTGGCCTAAGATGCATCCTTAGCATTTTCAGTTATAGGCTCCCTTACCCCAAACTCTAAACAACATATCAAATAAGAACCTGATGAACACCTTGGTCCTATATCACTTCTTCAGAATAAGCCAAGATGCTCAGTGAATCTAGCCTGCGGGCAGTTCATAGCAGAGTGAGAGCCTTTCCTTTCCCTTCACCTTCTATATTTGCAGTTACCAGATGTTACTTCCAAGTATTCACGTGTCATTCTAGGGACAGCGATTTAGGTTTTGACAGATAAAATTCCAGGACCTTATGATACTTGACAGGATTTTGACGAGCCGGTTCAGGTAGCCATATGTTACTTAAGTGGAGCATCCAGGCCTCACACCTAGGGTAGGTGAGACTAGAAGTAGGACAGGGTTACAGCACACAGAGAGCAGTTTCTATTGAGAGGCAGTGGTGCCCCAGGAGAAGCCGTGTCACAGCTGCAGAATGAGAGGCTATGAGAAAAATGATAACTGTCTCCAGTTCCCCCTCCCTTCCTTTTTATCCATTTTCCCCGCCATGGCCCAATCAATCCTCCTGTAGGCCCTGAGTACACTTTGTGTTTCCATCCTTCTTTCCATTAACTGCCCCGCCTCTGAATTGCCCAAGAAAAAATGCATCCTGGCACCTAGCTACACATGAGAAAGTAATCTGTGGACTACCTTTTTGATTAGCTTAATGTATTGCCCTCCCATGGAGGCAAACCCTTACTTTACTGAAATAAAGCTATGAGTGAAAATATCAAACAAGAATATCCAACTACTGAGAGATACTCGGGATATCGAAGTGTAGACCAGTGATCCTCAGCAAGGAAGACTGGGGCCGGGGTGCAGGTGCTTTTTAACAGTACAGACATCACCCCCATTGCTGCAGTTAAGAATCACCATGTAACTTGAGACACATTTGAAGAGAACACGTTTCTTTTATAAACATGCAACCATTGTGAAAGTTTGAGGTCAACCAATGCAAATAGCTACCTTTAGAGAAGGAAATGCAGTGCCCCCTGTGGGTCGAATGTCATACTAGGTATTTGTCTCATTCAAGCCTTATCCTGTAAGGTGGGTCTCACCTTGACCCATCACCATCACCATCACCATTTTACAGAGGAGAAAACAGGTGCTGAGAGGTTAAGTAACTTATTTAGGATCACACAGCCAACAGGTTGAACCAGAATTCAAACTCAAACCCATCATCACGACCCATACTATTTCTAAAAGAGTAGGATCATGTGTAAAAGTGCTACAAGAGGTTTAAAATATTACATAAATACTGGCCATCACATTATTACATGTGTTAACACATGAGGATTCACCGGGAGCTTTCGGCTTCGCTGCTCACGTGGATTTTCAGCTGTCGGTGAGGACAGCTCTTCTCCCTGGAGGAGACCGCAATGCTTCCTCAGTTACACTCGGGCCATTTTCCATCACAGCACTCCCCTGGTTCGCAAAGGGGCTGGCAGTGGAACCTGCAAGCCTCTCCTAACTGGCTCTAATGACACCACCTTGTCGTGTCCCCGAGCATCCTTTGGGGACCACCTCTAAGCCTTCAGAAGATGGGTGTCATCTGCTGAGGTGATGCCTTTTCCGGTTGGTCCAACCTGGCGTCCGAGACCAGCTTATGCGTTCATTCTTGTTCAGCCTCAAGGACACCTGGAAAGAAGAGATTTAATTATTATAAATTCTTCCTTGAATCCACTAATGTTGAGCACTGGTCCTACCTCCTCTGCCATGGCCGACATGCCGCTTTTCTGCAATCAAATCTATCACTTTTTCCAGTTTTGTTTCTTCTTTTAGGACTTCTGTTTACGGATGTTTAGACATAACTTCTGCACCCTGAGATTATATTAAAATATTTATCTTTACATTTTAATACTTCCATGTTTCTTCTTTAATATTTAAATCTTTACTCCATCTTAACTTAATTTGGGGTATAATCTGTGAGGTAAGAGAGTTAACTATTGTTTTTTCAAATTATTCTCCAATACTATTTATTAATTAATCCTTACCCCACTGACGTTTTACGACATTACACTGCATGTTCTTATATATTCTTGTGTCGGTTTCTGTACTTTTGACAAACTTTGAGACCTACAATTTTAGCCAGTCTATATAGGAAAGGAAAAATAATAGGTATATGCAAACACATTTTTCCCAGCTATTCCCTGGATCTGGGTAGGAAAGAGACCAAAATAGCGGGGGAAATTAAAAACAAATAGTGAATAATCAGAAGGGACTTACCAGCTCAATAAATAAAAGCTTGTAAGAATTTGCCCCGGTGTAAACGAAGTGTTACCGTTCTCCTTTAATGTAATGAAAAAGGAGTAAGCATAATCAAGATAGAGACATGCCTGTCAGAAAAATGCTTGGCTCCGTTTAATTCCTCTCCCCACCTCACCTATTCGTGAGCCAGCATATTTTATTTACTTACCCACCTTCAGGGTCAGGCCTGAGCATACTCTGAACAGAGTTCCTGCTGTGGGCAAAAATTATACTGGGAGTCCCTGTCTCAATAGGACCTGCCCCATTTGGTAACTGCAACTATTAAAGAGATAATTCATGGAAAGCAGTTACTACATGGCCTGGCTGTATCCATTTGCTAGAACTGCCATAACAAAACACCGTAGATTGGGCGGTTTAAACAACAGAAATTAAGTTTCTCACAGTTCTGAGGGCTGGAAATCCAAAATCAAAGTGTCATCAAGGTGCGTTTCTCCTGAGGCCTCTTTTCTTGGCTTGCAGATGGCACCTTCTCACTGTGTCCTTACACTGCCTTTTCTCAGTACACCTGCCTTCCTGGGGTCTCTTCCTCTTCTTTATAAGGACCTGTCATATTGGATTAGGGCCCACCCACGTGACTTCATTTAATCTTAATTACTTCTTTAAAGGCCCTATCTCCAAGTACAGTCACAATCTGAAGCATACTGGGGGTTAGAACTTCAAAATACGAAGTTCAACATATGAATTTTGGGGGGATACGATTCACACAGTAACACGGGCATATATGAAGGAACAAATAAAAATTAGCGATTATGAAGTACACGTGTTGGGCAAGGCAAACGAATACTGACGCAACCACAAGAGGAAACATATGAACAACTTTGCTCTTTCCTCCTTTTTGACAAAGAATAGATGTCTAATGTTCGAACAGCTGGGACACAACAGAAAGCCTTGTCCAAATAGCTACTGATTCAAACCAGGTCAGAGGATACTTGAAGACTAGAGCACAACAGCTCAGCGGGTGGACACTGCTAAGGGAAGTGAATTGGCTAATGGCCTCCCCAAACCATAGGTTACTATTTTAAATGTTACAAAAGACCACGGAGCATGAGAAGATGAAAAATAAAACCAGTGTGGGTCCAATCTTCAAAGGAGGAGAACTGAGTGATAGGGGCAGTTTGGCTGCATGTGACTAAACTAAATTGCTGAGTACTAAGCCAGCTCTGGGCTAGAGGTAGATCACAGTCTTTTCTGTCCTGGGGCTCTCGGGAGAGAAAAGAGCTTTTTCCTTTTTTCTTTCTTTCTCACTAAAATCCTCTTGCAGTCCTTGAAGATGGAAAACGTCTGTGTGTTGGGCAAAGTCATGCAAAAGGGGCACAAATACGCTTACCCCTAGTGCTACATAATGTGAATGTAAAAGAGGGCTTACTTGGGGAAAAAACTTCCAGGCAGATCTGAAGGAGCCGGGCAAGCCTCTGTGCTCTTGGTAGAGTTGTAAGCTTAGGCAGGGCATAGCTTCACTAGACTTATCAGGACCAAGCATTTAAGTAGAGAGTAGTCACCCACCTCCCATTACAGTGAAAAGTGACCCTCCCCCCAACATCGCTCTATGTATTTGTAGAAGAAGAAGAGTAGGTAACTATGACGCTATGGAAGCCCCCAACTGAGAAAATGGCCTTGTTAAAAAGGGAATCACCCAAAGCTCAGGACCTAGTATTAGGTCATTCTCTCTCCAAGGGCTTTCAAGGCCCTCCAGATGGGCTCTGCTCAGTCAAGGAAAAGAATATGTACCTGCCATCGTAGGGAGGGCAATCCTCGCTACCTACAAATATCGCTGGACTACTGCAGGTCAGTTGAAATGGCAGCACGTAGTGTAACTGATTTTCTTTAACAGCTCTTGCATAGGTGTGGCCACACACGAAGGGTGAGCTGGGACTCTGCAGGACTCTTTTTTTGCATTAGGCCCAAATTATGATTTAAAAACCAACAAACAAAAAAGCGCCTGGGTGGCTCAGTAGGTTGAGCGTCCGACTTCGGTTCAGGTCATGATCTCACAGCTCGTGAGTTTGAGCCCTGTGTCGGGCTCTGTGCTGATGGCTCGAGCCTGGAGCCTGCTTTGGATTCTGGGTCTCCCTCTGTCTCTGCCCCTAACCCACTCGCATTCTATCTCTGTCTCTCTCAAAAATAAATAAACATTAAAACAAACAAAACAAGAAAACCGTCTGGAGTCACATTGTGAGAAAAGGCCATGAACAAGGGATGTGCAGATTCCTTTTTGTCATTTGAAGACCAGCAACAGTCTCTCATCCCTGGAATACAGACAGCCCTCTGAGTTCACTAAGTGATGAAATCTCTTCCTTTGATTTTCCACTCTGCTTCCTGTGCTCAGTTGCTCCCTGGACCCTGGACGAATGGTGGTCCAAATGCTATCATTAACACTATGAAGACAGTAAAAATGTCTGAAGCATATATTGTGGAGCAGACACAATTTACATCAAAGGAAGAGTGTCGCTTTAACCAAAAGATTGCATACATTTTTGGTAGTTACCAAAAAAAACCCAAACAAACAAACAAACAAACATCTGATGATTCTCAAATTTTTATCTCCAGCTTTCATCTCTCCCAACCCAGACACGTTCCCAACTACTGCCCAGGCGCCCCCATCTGAAGCTACCTCATTCGAAGCATATCCAAAACAAACTCAGTTTTGTGAGTTATACTATCTACCGAAGTCATCCAAGTTAGAGCTTTCAGTCATCGTTGACCCCTAGGTCCTAATTAATTGATCATCAATTTGTATCAATTATACTGCTCAAGGGCCTCTGTTTTCATACTATTACAGTTTTGATCCTTACTGTTCCTGCCTTAGTTCAGTATCTTCTCTCAAGTAAACAACTGCTCAGCCTCTGAACTAATCTTCCTGCCTCCAGTTTCATTTTCATTTCTGAGTTTTGATCAGAGAACCACCCTTGTGAAACATGGTGGGTGGGAATATAAGCCTGACCTCTCCTGAACAAAGTACTTTGCTTCAGGAGGGACAAAGCAAGAATCCATTAGGTCCAATTCACAACAGAAAAGTGACAGAGCTGAGGAATACAGGGACAAATCTTTCCTGGTCAATGTGACTTGATGCTATGGTTTGACCCAATAATTTTGGCAGAGTTCTATGCATTCTCTTGAGAGGAGATGTTCTTGATGAGAGATGGGAAGACAGAGGGAAAATGGCTACTCAACTAGTGGGTTAAATTCGCCAAGACTCTATTAGGACTCAGGATAGGTGACCCTTACCCGTTGGGATGAGCACTGGGTGTTGTACGGATACCAATTTGACAATAAATTATATTTAATTAAAAAAAAATAGACGACCCTTAGCTTTCCTTAATTAATATGCAAAAGAACTCAGATATGTACACACTCTAAAAATCATAAAACAAATTTTAATTTATAGAGAAAAAAATCACTCCTAAATCTACCACCTGGTAATGACTACCATGTCTGTGCATACTCTTCTAGTCTTTTCCCAATATGCATACATATTTTAGATAGCTTCAATCATAGCCTTTGTCTTCGGTAAATATATAGAATTATATATCTAAAGATGCGCTAAATTAGAAAAACAATTGACCTGGGGCACCTGGCTGGGTCAGTCAGAAGAGTGTTACAACTCTTGATCTCAGGATTATGAGTTTGAACCCCACGTTGGGTGTAGAGATTACTGAAAATAAATAAACTTTAAAAAAGAAAAACAATCAACTCTACCTAATCTCATGCATTTCACTGGAGGACTTTTCAATCTGGAGTAAGGACATCATTCATTAGAGAGTAGTTCCTAATGGTGAAGGGTGAAGTTGGAGCCTGGTTGTACCTACACAATTTTGTACAAAAGGAAGGGTGAAGAGTTTGGTAAGGTGCTACCCATTTAAAATCAATGGACTCCAGATATGGGGAACATGCCTAAAGTCTAGAAAATAAAAAAGAGAATCTCTTACCTTCATAACACATTCTTATTAGCAGCATCCTTAAAATAGAGTTAATAGTACCAGGTTCAGGGGCGCTTGGGTGGCTCAGTCGGTTAAGCGTCCGACTTCAGCTCAAGTCATGATCTCGCAGTTTGTGAGTTCAAGCCCCACGTCGGCCTCTGTGCTGACAGCTCAGAGCCTGAAGCCTGCTTCAGATTCTGTGTCTCCCTCTCTCTCTTCCCCTCCCCCACTCACACTCTGTCTCTCTCTCCTTCAAAAATAAATAAACATTAAAAAAAATTTTTTTTAATAGTACCTAGTTTACAGGGCTTTTGTGAGGAATAAATGATGTGAAATTGAGTTGTAAACTATTAAAAAATGGTACAAATGTAAGGAAAAACTATTAGTGTCACTCCTAATCTGTATCTCTCACTAAACTCCAAACTCCGAAAAGACAACACCCTTGCTTTTTATCTCCCCACCGAATCCCCCAGAATGCTATAATCTAGAACCAGAAACAGAGCTCTGTTGGAGCTGAGAGAAACAATTTTTTCCGGAATTGTCAGGGACATCTCGCCAAGAGTTTTACAGGGGTAATAATAGGGACCCGGAGCTATTTTTAATATTTATAAAAGTCTAACCTGATATTATACTATTATCAGCAGTACAGCTTTATAAGCTAAATAAAACATCAATGCCTTCTTTAATTTTTCTTGTTTTCCCTTTTGTATGCAATTATACAAAACAAATGTGTATCTCATAGAAAAATTAATTGTTGCTTTATTTAATAAATACTGTGTGAGGCCCTGGGGTAACTGCCAAGGAAAAAAAGATGAATAAAAGAAGTCATAATCCTTGCCTTCATGGAACTCAGTCCAGGGAAGACAGACAAGTTTAATGTGCGAGTTGGCATTATACGACAAGGGCAATCACAATAAAGGGAATATATGGAGGACTGTTAACCTAGACTTAAGTGGGGCTGGGTGGTCACGAAAGGCTTCCTGGAGGAAGTCAAACCTTAAAAGACTTCTGGGAGTTATCCAGGCAAAGGCTGTGGGTAAAGGAAGAAAAAGAGGCCAAATAATATGTCCAGGAAGAAAGGAATATATGCAAAAGACAAAAGAAGACAGAAAACACTTTACTAAGAAACTTAGTTCAACAGGGTCCCCATGTAGAATCAGGGTACCGAAGTGGGTAAAGATAGGATTTGCAGAAGGATGACATTTTACCCCACCTTTTATTTTGAAAATTTTCACACCCAGAAAACACTTGAAAAACTAGTGCAATGAATAGCCACATACTACCCCCCCCAGCTACTCCAGGGAGTGGTGGAGGGGGTCAGCGGGGAGAGGGAGAGAGAGAATGAACGCATGAATCAACCAATCTGGCAGGGGCGCCTAGCTGACTCAGTTGGTCGAGTGTCCAACTCTTGATTTCAGCTTAGATCATGATCCCAGGGTTGTGAGATCGAGCCCCACATCGGGCTCTGTGCTGAGTGTGGAGCCTGCTTAGGATTCTCTCCCTCTCCCTCTGCCCCTCTCCCCTGCTTGTGTGCTCTCTCTCTCTCTAAAAATTAAAAAATTAATAATCTGGCAAAATGTTAATAACTGTTGATCAGTTGGGATTTCTAGCACTCTTCAGATGCTCCTTTTCCTCCAATCTGTAAATAGAAATCTTTCTAGATCTTTCCTCCAGTTTTTCCTCCCCTCCCTACTTGAGAAACTTTTAAGATTAACTGGTCATAAAAACATTCTGCTGTAATGTGCAGGCAATGGGAATATTTAGCCCAGATAAACCAGTGTCTCTCAACACATCTTTCATAACTAAGCCCCTAAGGAAAATTTTCAGACTTTTTTTTTTTCTAATTGCCTCCTCAGGAAATTTTAATACACAGATGAGCTGTAATTTGGCTTTGTAATGTGCGTATATGTGTATTATATATACATATACATTATATATATTATGTATATATAATACATATGTTTTATACTTTAAAAAAGATTTTTTTATACCCCGAGAACCAATTTTTGCCTTCTTGTGGGCAATATCACTCCCAATGAGAATGCATGGATGAACAGATCTAACACAAAGAGGAATAAATCAGATTACGATAGAATGAATTCCTATTCCAATTAGTTTCTAGAAACAATATTAATGTATTAGCTACTTCTCTAAATGTAAAGTAAGATAAATTCAAAGATTTTTTAACCAAAAAAAGTTCATTCCTAAGTCTTTGGGTCACATCTTCCATGAAAAACTTTTTATTATAAGCCACTTGGCCACCATAATTAACACCATAATTAAAATGCTCCAGAGAACCCAACAGAGTGAAAAAGGACCTAATTCATCAGTTGTCACCTGTTCCTGACAAAATGAATTAAATAACATAAGTCTCTTTTGGGAAAGGTAGGGGGAGAACCATAGTAATCCCAAGTAGTTTGGGGGCAACGTAGAGGGACCGACCCAAAGTATAGAAGTCCTAGAGATGGAGAATGCTCTTTGTAGGGGCAGCAAAATTTAGGCAGGCGTTGGAATGAGAAGATTTTATTGAAGACAAACTATCAATGACACTGTCTTACCAAGGTCTAGAGCAGTGCTGTTCAGCACACATTTAATGTAAGCAGTCTACCCAATTTTATTCTGGAAGCCACATTACGGAAGTAAAAAGGAACAAGTGAAAATAAGCTTAATAATAGATCTTATGTACTAGAGTTCTATGAAAAGATTACCACTTTCATATATTGCAACAGTGGCCAGTGCAAAAGAAATAATAATAATAAGCTATCAAGTCATGAAAAGATGCGAAGGAATCTGAAATGTCTGTTACTAGGTGAAAGAAGCCACTCTGAAAAGGCTACATACTGTATGACTCCAGCGATACGTCATCGGGCAAAAGACAAGCCACAGACAGTAAAAGGATGAGGGCTTTGCCAGGAGTGTGAGGAGAGGAAGAGGTGAATACGCGAAGCACTGGGGATTTTTAGGGCAGTGAGATTACTCTGTGTGATACTGTAATGGTGGATACACGACATCATACATTTGTCAAAACCTACTGAGTGCACAACACCAAGAGTGAGCCTTAATGAAAACTGTGCACTTTGGTGATAATGATGTATCAATATTGGTTCAATTACAACAAAGGTAATTCCTTAGCACAGGATGCTGATGGTAGGGAGGCTGTACGTGAGAGGAGAGGGGATCTATAAGAACTCTCTGTGCCTTCTGCTCAATTTTGCTGGGAACCTAAAACTACTCCAAAAAATAAAGTGCCTATTTTAAAATACACGTATATTTATAATATAGGCCATTTCAACATGCAATCCATATAAAACGTTACATTTGAGATATTTGACATTCCTTTTTTCATTGTAAATCTTTTCAAACAGGCATGTTTGTACACTTAGACCATTTCTAATTTGTATTAAGCACATGTCAAGTGCTCAAAAGCCACATGTGGGACAGCGCAAGTCTAGACAGTGGCGGCACCAAGCCACGCTGGATACGTACATGAGGAAAATGTTTTTGCTGTGCAACCAAGCTTCTGAGTCTTCTTTCCACCCAGGTCACTGCCTCTCAGCTCTTGTCATATAGATATTTAGGAACAGCCTCCCCAAGGACCCCCTCCCCAGTCCAACCCCCCCAGAGAGTATCACTCCAAAGATTTTCCTGATGGGAGTCTGTCTAAAAGAGAGGTGTGAACACTGAAGAATATAAAGGATATATCACACCAGAGTTTCCTGAAAACACCATGAACTCCTCATTAATAAAAGGAAAAAAAGCTTTCAGGTCCTGCACACTGTGCAAAAAAAGTGAAGAATTTATTAAAATGCAGTGCAGATTGGAATGCTACCTAGAAAATAGGTACTTAAGAAAAAAATAGTTGCTGTCAATATAGAAATAAATAACTGGGCTTTGCCTCAGTTGGTGGAGATTATATAGATTTCTGGGCAACCAGGAACATTATTTATATATATTTCCTAGCAACATTCCTGGAACTAATGTATAGGCTTCTCTCTAAGCCATGATATATTATAATCTACTCATGTTCTAAATGCTATTACCAAGATGTGGGTGCACCTCAGCTCAGAAAAGTTAGCAGTCATTTGAATTAGAAAAGGCACCACATTAAATCATAATCTGCGCTTTTATATTCATCATTTTCAGGTTCTATCACTCAGAGAAGCGAGAAGGAAAAAAGGGCATTTATTTGCTTACCATTTTGAACAGCTCTTCCGAAGGAAGGGAAAAGAAAAAAACAGAAAGTGGCCTGACTATCACAAAAAAATATGCAGCCCCACAGAATCCTGAAAAGAAAACAGCATGATATAACACAGGCTGTACACATACAAGTTTTATTTATAGTCACAAAAACCATTTTTAAATGCCTAGCTCCCATCCGAGTCCTCTTTGAAATGAAGGAGAGGATTTAAATTAGTATTTTTTTTTTTAATTTTTGAGCACTCTTTTTTTATTTTTTTCAACGTTTTTATTTATTTATGGGACAGAGACAGAGCATGAACGGGGGAGGGGCAGAGAGAGAGGGAGACACAGAATCGGAAACAGGCTCCAGGCTCTGAGCCATCAGCCCAGAGCCTGACGCGGGGCTCGAACTCACGGACCGTGAGATCGTGACCTGGCTGAAGTCGGACGCTTAACCGACTGCACCACCCAGGCGCCCCATTAAATTAGTATTTAACCATATATGGTATTTTTCTTTTTTTTTATTTATTTTTTTTCATATGTGGTATTTTTCAAATTAAGAATTCTACATGAAAAGCCAAAATATTTTCCATATTTATAATTAAACCTCTCCAAATAAGTATATTAATATAATCTTAACATAATTTAATAAAATGACATGATATCTTGGACTTGATTTAAGATACCCCAACAAATAAAAATAATAATAAAAGTAACAGTGGTGGAAATATATGAAATAAAAATGAGAGAATGCTATGAACTGGTGACACCGAATGATAGATTCTTGGAGGTTTGTTATTCTCTCTCCACTATGTATAGCTCATATCTAAGGTTTTCCAAATAAAAAGGTTCAAAATTGTGGGTGGTAAGTTTTAAAATATATGGGTATCTTTAACAAAAGAAATTGTTAACTGGTTATTTCTGATTCAGGGCCTGGCACATGAGATTTACTATTTACTTACACCCTTTTAAACTGTTCACATGTTTTGATCAAACATTATTTTCTCACTAAAAAAAATCTACACACACACACACACACACACACACACACACACACACACACACTAGTGTTTTGGTAAGGGTAGAACACTTAACACTTCCTGAGGATACGGGTTCTGCATTTAGCTCTGTACCTGATTAGTTGTGGGTCCTTAATCAAGTTACTTCTGAGTCTTATTAAATAAGGAGAACATTTAAATGAAAAAATACATTTGAAAATACCCAACACAGTGTCTGGCACAATATAGGTATTCACACAGTGTTGATTTAAATGACATTTAATACTTGGGGACAACTAGATTTACTATGGAGACAGGCCCACTCATAACATGTGGGGGGCCAGGAGCAAAAGGAGAAAAAGAGGCATTAGCCCATATTGTTTTTCTCTTTCCACCCCATGGAGGACATCCCAACAAACTCCATCAAGCTCCACCACCCCCAGCAGCTGCCCTTTGACCACTCCTGAGGCCAAGGTGAAGGGGGTAGAGTGGGATAATGTATTCTTAGTATTCCCTGTCCCCTGGGTAGGGATGTGACTGCAGAGGAGCCTGAGTAGTTCCTTTCAAAGCAAAGAGCTCAGGGTAGGGGACCCAGGTGCCTGAACTAAAAGCTGTACCGATCTGGGGCACCTGGGTGGCTCCGTTGGTTAAGTGTCTGACTCTTAATTTTGGCTCAGGTTATGATCTCATGGTTTGTGAGATCAAGCCCGCATCAGGCTCTGCACTGACAATGTGGAGCCAGCTTGGGATTCTCTCCCAGCTGCTCTCTGCCACTCTCCTGCTCATACTCTCTGAATGAATGAATGAATGAATGAATGAATGAATGAAGCTGTACTGAATAGAGACGAGCTGTTATACTGAACAACTCAACAGAGTAAGAGTCAGAAGACATGGATTCATGTCCCAGTTCTCCAGTAATTTCATGTGACCTCAGGCCATGTCTTTACCTAGCTGTGCCTCAATTTTCTCATATATCCATCTAATAAATATTTATTGGGCTCCAGTCACGGGCTAGACATGCATCTAGATACTGTGAATACACAGAGAACACCACAGACAATAGCCTTTATCTTCAGAGACTTACCATTCTGATAGGGAACAAGCCATGAAGATATCTGGGGCAAATGTAGTCCAGACAAAGGGTCTCTTCTACATCAAAAGTTTCGTGATTAATCTGGCAAGTTGACATGTTCATTAAATACAAATAACAAAAGAATCCTAAGGGAAAAAAATAGCATATGTTAAATTATAATGCAATATTATAAAGAGTGCAAAACATGCCTTTTATTTTTTCTTCTTTTTCATTAATTTTTTTGAGTGTAGTTGACATGCAATGTTACCTTTCAGGTATACGACACAGTCATTCGGCAAGTCTAACCATGATGCTATCCTCACCACAAGTGTCGCTACCATCTGCCGCCATACAATGCTATTACAGTATCATTGAATATATTCCTTATGCTGTGCCGTTGATTCCTGTGACCCATTCATTCCGAGACTGGAAGCCTGTATCTCCCACCGCCCTTTATTCATTTTGCCCTTCCCCCCTTCCCTCCCTTCTGGCACCCACCAGTTTGTTCTCTGTGCATACAGGTGTGATTTTTTTTGTCTGTTTACTCACCTAAAACATGCCTTTTAGTATCTGTTCTCTAAGAACATTCACAACTACTGCTCTAATTTTTTTTTTAATTTTTTTTTCAACGTTTATTTATTTTTGGGACAGAGAGAGACAGAGCATGAACGGGGGAGGGGCAGAGAGAGAGGGAGACACAGAATCGGAAACAGGCTCCAGGCTCTGAGCCATCAGCCCAGAGCCCGACGCAGGGCTCGAACTCCCGGACCGCGAGATCGTGACCTGGCTGAAGTCGGACGCTTAACCAACTGCGCCACCCAGGCGCCCCACTACTACTCTAATTTTAATCACAAGAATTATCACCATCCGCAGTACAAAATCCAATCTCAAAATGTGCCATTTTCTTTGTATTATTACCCAATTTATTTATGTATATTTTATGTGGAAGATAAACTTATATAAAAGATAATCTAATCACAAAGTGTTTATCCACATTAATTTTTTAGTAAATATGTTAATCTATCAGGGGCTTCATAAAACATTTATTTCAAAAAAGGTTAATAATGAGCTTTATTATTTCATAAACACAGAAAAAAGGAATTCACAGAAAATGAATAAAATGAATAAAGTGTGTAATCAAGTACAATCTAAGAATAGCTTATATTTATGCCAAACCAATTAAGATTGGGTGCAGCTTCCTGACTATATCCACTATGGGGTGTTTGGGGTCAGGGCAGAGCATTTGGTCAGGCAGCTAGGAGTCAAGTGAGATGTTAAAGAAGACTGTGGAGAATTTTTTCTGAAATGGTGAGTAATAAGTAACAACGGATCTTATGAGTCGTTTAGTTCCAGTCTGACCTGAAAGTAGTTACACAAGGAGAGCTCCAAAGCTCAGATCATTCTAGGCCTTTCATCCCATACCTTCTCAAGAGTGAAGAGCTGCCCAGTTAACGTAAAATCTCAGTTATAAGGAACTATTTATACTTATTAGATCTCACAATTAGAAACATCTTGGGGCACCTTGGTGGCTCAGTCTGTTGAGTGTCCAACTTTTGGCTCAGGCCATAATCTCACAGTTCGTGAGTTCAAGCCCCGCACCTGGCTCTGTGCCAAATTATCTGTCTCCCTCTCTCTCTGGACCACTTCCCTTTGTGTGCGCCGGCACTCTTTCTCAAAGATAAACATTAAAAAAAAAAAAAAAGAAACATCTCAAGCACGGCGAATTTCTAGATAAACTGCAAAGCAGCCATAATGCAATGGGACCAAGTTTTCTCTTACCCATCTCAGTTCAAAATAAGCAAAATAGAAGTGTGCGCTGTCTAAGCTTTGGAAGTAGGAGAGCATTTTATTGCAGCTACTTCCACTAGATGGCACTAAAGACTCTTTTAGGAATCAGGCTCTGTTAGGAAAGCAAAAAAAAATCAGGATGAGGCAGTAGGAGAAATGAGGTTGACTAGGCCTAGGTTGCAGAGGGAAAAGGTAGAGTTAAGGGAAGCCCCTCCTAGAAGATAGATTCCATGAAAGCAGGGATTTTTGCTCTACACAATGATGTATCTTGGCACACAGTCAAAAGTCCCTGCCCTTATTACCGTTCTAGTGGGGAGCAAGCCACAAAGACATTTGGGGAAAACATACTCCGGGTGCTCAAAGAATATCTGATGAAGAAATGAAGGTCCTGAATAGCCACTGAAGATCATGACCAAAGTAGGGTTTCAGAAAGATTTTTGACAGGGTCATAGAGAATGGACTGGAAACAGGGACAGTAATTAGTAATCCAAAGAAAGCCTGGTAAGGACTTGAACTAAAAAGCAGGAATAATAGGCATAGAAGGGAGGGAGTAAATTCAGAGATATGATGTGGGCAATAATAACAGTAAAAAAAAAAAAAAAAAAAAAAAAGAGCCCCCATATAAAACATGGGCTAGTGCTCTATAAACGCCACCTCCAAATCTCACAACCATCAGGGAGGATGAAGATTTTTTTTTTTTTTTTTTTTTTTTTTTTTTAAATAGGGCTGAGGACCCTGGGGAATACCAGTGTTTTAAGAGCCCGGTGGAAGAAATAGTGCACTGCAGGGAGAAAGAGAAGGATTGGTTAGAGAGGCAGGAAATGGAAGGAACATCGAGAACAGTGTTATAGCAACCAAGGGAGGAGAAAGAGAAAGTTTCAAGAAATGAGGCAGCGTTGAAAGCAGGGGCACCTGGCTCAGTTGGTACAGCATGTCGCTCTCCAAGTCTTGAGCTCCAGCCCCACGATGGGTGTCTCCTTCTCTCTCTCCGAGAGGGAGCTTACTTTAAAAACAAACAGGGGCGCCTGGGTGGCGCAGTCGGTTAAGCGTCCGACTTCAGCCAGGTCACGATCTCGCGGTCCGTGGGTTCGAGCCCCGCGTCGGGCTCTGGGCTGATGGCTCAGGGCCTGGAGCCTGTTTCCGATTCTGTGTCTCCCTCTCTCTCTGCCCCTCCCCCGTTCATGCTCTGTCTCTCTCTGTCCCACAAATAAATAAAAATGTTAAAAACAAACAAAAACGATAGCAAATTCTGCTCGATCATAACTGAAAAGTATTCACTGGATTGAACAAGTTGGAAGTTACCAGGGACTCTGGCCAAAGCAATTTTCAGAGAAATGGTGACAGCAAAAGCCAGAGCCTAGTGTTTAGGAGTAAAATGCAAGAATTAGAGAAGCAAGTGTAGACTCTTCTTTTTAAGAGGCCACGGGAAATCAGGAGCTAGAGAGGGGCATAGGGTAGCAGATTTACGCATGAGTAGGAGTTGAAAGAAAAGTCCACCAGAAAGGAACGGACGAAGACAGAGGAGAGAGAACAGGCAGGTGAGGCTGGGCCTCAGAGCACAGATCCTGGGAGAAACGATTCTCTTTCCCTTGAAGGATGGAAAAAGGATGGGGGGTGAGAAAGAAGTTTAATGGTGAAAGGTAAGTCCGGCATAGCTCTCTGGTTCACCTTCTGTGTATATTCACTCAGTCTCTGCTGGTGCTAATCGATCACAATGTCCAAGCAAGCCCTGATTTCTTGATGAGTCACCCTGCTTTTCCACCCTTCCTGCCTTTGGTACTTTCCCTGTCCTGGGCTACGAGAGTGGGCTGACATTTAGACACCCCGATGGACCTGATCACTTTCATCAGTCCTATTCCTCTGACCCTGTGACTTCTGCCCTTCCCTGTAACTATTTGCTGCCTGGGGTCCTCAGAAAAGAGGGAAGTAGTCTGTTAGCATGGAATAAAACACTGAGCTGATTCCGGGAAAGGAGAATCCTTAACTAATCCTCGCCTGTGATCTCACGCCATTATCACCTACGGTCTGCACCAGCCACAAAACTCTTGGTTGCCTGTAGTCCTGTTTATCCTCCTTAATTGGACATCATCATCATGTCCTGCCTCGCCAATAACAAGTCCTTATTACATGTCTACTGATTAGGCACTAGGTTGGTTCCCAAGGGTTCTCATCTTAATAGAGACACAGTGTATTTGTGCGTGTGTGTGGTGCATACATATATACATGGCACCCACACACACATACATAATAAAAACACTTAATACTACCATGTGACACAGACTGAAAAGAGAAAAGTAGAGGAAAAGAGCCACTGGAGCTCAAATTTGGGGCTCTGAAGCAACAGGGAATTTCGAGGCAGTTGTGTAAAGCAGGCCTGACCTCAAAGGACGGGGAGGTTTAAATAGTAAAGGTGGAAGAATTCTGCAGACAAAACTGGCAAAGGCCAAGAAGTGTGTTTGACCATGTTTAGGGGGGTAACTAAAAGGCCAGGTTTATCGACGTATTAGGGAATCCAGATTTTATCCTATGGCGATAGGGAGCTAGTGCAACTTTCAGAATGAAGACTGACTTGTACCATGTTTTCACATGTTTTTAGAATTAATTTGGGAAAAATCATAGGATTGGTTGAAAAAAAATGGAGGGCAGGGCTAATTCAGAGACTACCGTAATATCTGAGGTGAGGGTGTAATACTACAGGTAAGGGTCCTGTATTCATCCTAAAATTCTATGCAGTATGATGTTGGCAGTGGGCATGGAAAGAAAGTGGTACCTGCCTGGACATGGAAAAAGAGAAAGGAAGCCAGGAACACTATAAGCTTTCAAGCTGGAGAGAAGGGGGAATAATGATATCCTTGAGAGAATAAAATAGGAAAGTTCAGAGAGCACAGTTTAGTGAGCAAAAAAGTTCAATGAAGTTTAAGGTATGTGGGGTTTAGGAAGATGGGGACACAATGAGTGCAGATTTAGAACAGCTGTGACCAAAGCTCAGGGGAGAAAGTGTGGATGTGGGAATCATCTACGTAACATGACCAATAGAGAAAAAAAGGTAGGGTATAAAGAGGACGAAGGGAAACCAGGGAAGGAGAGTGTGAGAAACAGACCAAGAGATTAGGCCAGAAGAGTAGAGGATTCAGAAAAAGAAAGCAAGTTTTAAGGATGAGGAAGTACATAACAATGGTAAGTACTAAAGAGGCTGTATATTGGGGATAGTATATTGACGAAAAGTGACTTGGTCACTTGTAATCTACAAGTGAAAAGTTTCTTTTCTTTTTTTTTTTTAATTTTTTTTCCCAACGTTTTTTTATTTATTTTTGGGACAGAGAGAGACAGAGCATGAACGGGGGGAGGGGTTAGAGAGAGAGGGAGACACAGAATCGGAAACAGGCTCCAGGCTCTGAGCCATCAGCCCAGAGCCTGACGCGGGGCTCGAACTCCCGGACCGCGAGATCGTGACCTGGCTGAAGTCGGACGCTCAACCGACTGCGCCACCCAGGCGCCCCTACAAGTGAAAAGTTTCAACAGAAGAGAGGAGTTGGGGCGCCTGGGTGGTTGTCGGTTAGGCTTCCGACTTCAGCTCAGGTCATGATCTCGCGGTTCATGGGTTTGAGCCCCACATCGGGCTCTGTGCTGACAGCTCAGAGCCTGGAGCCTGTTTCAGATTCTCTTTCTCCCTCTCTGTCTCTGCCCCTCCTCCGCTGGTGCTCTCTCTCAAAAATAAATAAACATTAAAAAAAATTTTTTTTTTAAAGGAGGAGTTTGTTTATTTGAGGGAGGAAAAAAATGGGTGGTGATGAACACAGAAAGCAGGACAATTCTTTTGAGAAATATAGTGGTGAGAAAAGTCAGCTAAATTGAAAGTCAGCTGAGTCGAGGGGGGATGTGCATCCCCCTTTAGGACTTGATCACAACTCTTGGCAGAAAGAACATGCTAGTAAAGGAGTGACTGAAAATGTAGGAGCAGCAAAGTTTTGAAGAGCCAGGAGAGGTTGGAGTAAAAGAGCAAAGGTCTTCAGGAAGAGAAGAAAGGCAGTCAGGATGGGTGTGAGAGGAGGTCGACAAAACATAGATTTTTAAGCAGAAAGTCAGTGAGTTTTCCAGATAGTCTTGCTTTTCTCACCCCATTCAAGTTACCTGCTGAGTACATAAGGTATTAGATGCTAGAAAGGAGAGTCTGAGTCAGAAGGAGGAGGAGAACCTGAAGATATCCAGGTAAGGACTATTTTTTAAGACCTTCGTGGTCATAATCATTTTTAGAAATCACAAATCATTTTTATGTAACAGTGGCATTGGACTCATTGCCATGCTGTATTTTGGAAACGGCCAAACATTTCCATTTTTAAAAACGTTTATAGTTTTCATACTCTAAAGTCAAGTGTTATTTTGTCTTGGGTTTCAGATTCCATATTTTTGTAAGCTTAGGCTCCACGCTAAGTGTGCCTCTAGCATGAACTCAATACAACAGCTGCCCATCGGGTCCAAATCAACTAGGGAAGGTCAGGAACAAAACCAGCAGTGAGAGAACCAGGCATACTGGACAAGCTTAAGGGACTGGAAATAGAACAGTGGAGGGGAAGGAGCTAGAGGGTTACCATTTCTGGAAATTGTGGAGATACAGGTCCCAGATCTCGGGTGTGGCAAAGCCCCCAGAGGGCCGAATAAGGAGACTCCTGGTGAGGATACTTGAAGAAGGAGACAAAGAAATTGCCAAGGCTGCCTGTCGCGTTCATCTTCCCAATTATTTTGTGAGCCTACAAAGGGTTCCCTCCCTCTTGGCCAGGAGCCACTCTCCCATTGTGACCAGTCACGGCCCCCCTTGGACTGACTGCTCAAAACAGCCGGACAAACTTGCTCCGTTTCTGGCGTACGAAACTGTAGGCTTCTGGGTGACAAATACCTAACCCCTCTGGCCTTCCGCGCCCCTGGCCCCGAAGGGTCACACAAAGACCCACCCCAGGGGAACCACGAAGCCAGCCTTCGGTTCAACGGTCTCCCAGACGGGTCCCCAGAACCTCGGGGCTCAACGAAGCTCTTGTAACCTGCAATGCTGGGCCTGGGGGATTCCTGGACTAAAATAAGCTGAGGAGGCCCAGGAGGGAACTCGTGGGCTCAGGCCGGCCGAGCAGAAACGTCCTTCATAGCGTCCGAAGCCTCTGGGACGAGGACCCCTCGTCCTACAGCTCCCAGCAAGCTGTGCGCTGAGCAACTGACAGCACCACCGCCAATGGAAGGGCCCGGTCTGGGTCCGTGGGCCCAATCCGAGGGCGCAAAGGAGGCCGTCCCCGTGGCAGACCAGCGGGGCTTTTTAAGTGGTCCTCTGGCCTCTCTGGTCGCCACAGCGATAGAGGGATCGTCCCCGTAAAAGGGTGACGCTGCTTATACTATGCCGCTCACTCCCAGCCTCGCTCTTTTCCTCCCCTCCGCCCTAGCCCTCCCTCCGCCGGACGCCGGCACTTAGCTAGATCCCTCCTCTACCCGTCGGAGTGGCCCGGCGAAGATGTGGAATTTCCAAATCTTATTGGATGCTGGTGGTGTCACTCTGGGGGGAGGCGGGACCCCCAGCGGTGAAGGCCGCCCCTCTCGGACGGTGATTGGACTCGCCTGTGTAGACCGGGCTGGGATTGGTGCGAGGAGGGGCCAGAGCCATCGGGCACCTTGAGCCGAGGTGTCGGGGAGGCGGCGGCCGCCGAGAAGCCGGCCGAACTCGCAGCTCCTTTTCCCGCCGTCTGCGGTCCGCGAAGGGCCGGGTCGAGGGAAGGAGCGGGAGTCCCCCTCCCCACCTCATCACGCGGGGGCGGGGGAGGCGCTTGTCGCGTGTCCGGCGCAGGACCCTTGGGGCCGGAGGGGGGGCCGGGACGCGGGAGGGGGGGCGGGTAGTGGAGGAAGGGAGAGGTGCAGGGGTCCAGGAGTTGGCATCAGGACCAGCTCAGGATTTAGACCTGGAAGTGCTTCCGGGGCGGAGGACTTGGGGGGTGGCAGAGGAGGGCGTGGGTGCGTCTGGTATGGGATGCCATGCAAAGGAGGGGGCCCTCCTAAATAGATCCGTGGGTGGTTCCTTTGACTCTTCTATCATTTTGCCCTTTGCTTTGCCGAAGAGAGAGTCCCCATGGTCTCTGCTCAAATTCTGGAAACTTTCTCTTTGGGTGGGCTTAATCACCTACTACTTTATTATAGAACTACCCAGAGCCTTTCCTGATACTGGGCACAAACGTGGGGAATATGTCAGAAAACAGGAAGCCGCTGCTGGGCTTCGTGGGCAAACTCCCCAGTGGGACTGCACTTGGGAACTCAGGCAAGACTCACTGCCCTTTGTGCATGGGGCTTTTCAAAGCCCCCAGGCTCTTGCCTTGTTTGCACACAGTTTGCACCACGTGTCTGGAGCAGCTGGAACCCTACTCGGTAGTGGACATCCGAGGGGGCGACTCTGACACAAGCTCTGAGGGGTCAATATTCCAGGAACTCAAGCCACCCAGTCTGCAGCCCCAGATCGGCATCCTCTGTCCGGTATGTGACACTCAGGTGGACCTGCCCATGGGTGGAGTGAAGGCTTTAACCATAGACCACCTGGCCATGAATGACGTGATGCTGGAGAGTCTTCGTGGGGAAGGCCAGGGCCTGGTGTGTGACCTGTGCAGCGACAGGGAAGTGGAGAAGAGATGTCAGACCTGCAGAGCCAACCTCTGCCACTTCTGCTGCCAGGCTCATAGGTAAAGATGGGATACCCCACCTGGTGTAGCTTAAGAGCAGAATAAAAAAAAAAAAAAAAAAAAAAAAAAAAAGTGGTGTCAAGCCAGAAATCCCTTGTGAACAGATGGGAAGGAAAGCGCTCTCAAGTGCCATGTAAGGTCAAACAGCAATATATGCTGTGATAAATACTCTAGAATGGTAGTTAACTCCTGCACCCTTACATGATACCTGTAGTAATAGTGGAATCAAAGGTTTGCATAGTCCTTTTGCGGTTTGGGAAGCACGTTCACAGTTTCCTTGGGTCATTAATCGCTTTTTGTATAAAGGATAATGGTAGTGGGTGCTGGCTAAACAGAAGAATATAAGAGCATAGCCCCTGGCCTTGATCTCATTTGATGCCTTGCCGCTCTTATAGAAAAGCAGGCACTGTTTTCACTCCCATTTATTATTTGAGGAAACTGAAGCTCAACACTGTGATTTGCCAAGGTCCACCAGCTGGGAAGGAGTGCGTAACAGAACCGAATTTTACATCTAGGGCTTCTGCTGCATTCTGTGCTCTTTCTGCTAATCCACGCTGCCCTCCAAACAGCATAAGGTGCTATTTGGCGGCGCCCCACCTCAGCCTTTGCCTTGTACTACCTAGAGTCACTCGAGCTTGGTGAGGTGGGCCGGTAGGTGCTTGTTGGGGTGCAGATTTAGGTCTTTCGTGGCATTTGGTGAAGTTTGCCACATGGATCACCCTTTGTCCCTTGTCCACCTTCTCCCCCATTCCAGGGCATCAGAATAGAAAATAGCCATGATTTTAGGATTAGCTTAAAATAGTTTCTAAATTCTGCCTTCCATTTGTTTTCTGTCTCACCCACAGAACAAGTTAGTAGTCTTCAGTCTATTTTTAACTGGTAATTATGACTGCCTTGCTGCCAATCAAACAGCTGATCTTGTTTTCTCTACAGCCACGTTTCTGGTGCCAGAATAGGCATGTGAGCTCCAAGTTGATATAATGCTAACTGGGGGGATCGCTCAACAGTCATCAGGTTTTCTAGAGATTTCCTTGAAACTCCAGAAGGCTACAGAAAAGAGGAATTAAGAGAACTGTGATCCTACTGACCGCTGATTTCACTCTTTCTAATAATTTTGATGACTCGAGGAAAATTCTAGCTTGCTGCTTTGGGGTGATGGAGGCGCTGGTCATGGAAATGCTTTACCGAAATCTTAGGGAGCCTTAATGTCACGGCCAGCCAGACACTTTTTAATTGCCTAGGGTGTGCTGCTGTGTCCTCTTGCATAGTTTCTGTCTCCTGGTGCTGGGTTACCACCATGCTCTCACCTCTAGCTTGCTGAAGGAGCAGGCCATGGCTGTTGTTGAAACTTGCCAAATTCACTCTTCGGAGAAAGTTCCAGGACATAGCCTTAGTGTCGCAACCTTTGGCAGAGTCCCGTTCCAGGCCAGAGAGCCCTAGTCCACTATCGCTTTATTCAATATAGTAGCCCTTTCAAGTAGGTACTATCCCCCCTGGGACAGATGAGGAACTGGAATCAGAGAGGACCCTGTGGTTAGTAAGAGGTTAGAGCAAGGGACTGAACTCAGGTTTCTTTGACTTCAGCGCCCATGCTTTTGAAACTGCCCAACTGTTTCCCAACTGAATTGTCCCCTAATGTCCCGATCCTGGCTCTGTTTGCCCCTAGGCGGCAGAAGAAAACAACTTACCACACGGTGGTGGACCTAAAAGACTTGAAAGGCTACAGCAGGATCGGGAAGCCCATTCTGTGTCCCGTGCACCCTGCAGAGGAGCTGAGACTGTTCTGTGAGCTCTGTGACCGGCCCGTGTGCCGGGACTGCGTGGTGGGCGAGCACCGGGAGCACCCCTACGACTTCGCCAGCAACGTTATCCACAAGCACGGGGACTCCGTGCGGGAGCTTCTCAGAGGCACCCAGCCCCACGTGGAGGCCCTGGAGGAAGCCCTGGCACAGATCACAGAGATGAACAGTGCCCTCCAGAAGCGAGTGGAGGCTGTGGCAGCTGACGTGCGAACGTTCTCCGAGGGTTACGTCAAGGCCATTGAGGAGCACCGGGACAGGCTGCTGAAGCAGCTGGAAGACATCCGGGTCCAGAAGGAAAACTCCCTGCAGCTGCAGAAGGCACAGCTCGAGCAGCTGCTGGCGGACATGCGGACGGGCGTGGAGTTCACTGAGCACCTGCTGACCAGTGGCTCGGACTTGGAGATCCTCATCACCAAGGGGGTGGTAGTGGAACGGCTCACGAAGCTGAACAAAGTCGAATATAGTGCCCATCCTGGAGTGAACGATAAGATACGCTTCTCTCCTCAGCAGAGAGCAGGCCGGTGCCGTGGCTATGAAGTTTATGGGACCATCAATACGAAAGAGGTCGATCCAGCTAAATGTGTCCTTCAAGGAGAAGGTAGGAAGGCATTTGAGAGGGCAATGGATGGGGACATGGTGTTGAAAGAGGTACGGCTTTTTCAGCCGGGGCCTTCATCCAGCTAGGAAGAGCTTCCTCCTGACTGGTTTACCAAGGGAGAGAGCCATACCGGTCCGAAGGACAGCGACCCCTCCCTTGCCGTTTCTTTCTGTTTCCTTCTGGTCAGGGTATGGTGCGTAGCCCATACAGGGGTGAGGCTTGACCCTTTTCCAGTTGAGCAAAGTAGTAACTAGCAAGGACCTCAAGGAGCGTGCTATTTCTATCAGATGACAGAGGAGCCCGTGCCCGTAGAAGACGACAGGATAGGCCAGGGCGAAATCCTGCCTGCTCGGAGAGGAGACTGGCAGGCCCCAGAGTACTTGGATCTGGTTCTGAAGAGAGTTTCGGAGGAGTGAGGAAGACAGGGTTATAATGTACTTTCTTCTATGCCCTTTGTGGTTCATGTAAGTCACATCTCAGCATTGAAAAGATTATGATAAGCATTCCATTCAGTAGGGGGAGAAACAATTTCTTTTGACCATTCTGTCCCTAAAGGAGGCATGTCATTCAAACATATAGTTTAGAGATCGGTCCTGACAGCAAGACGGTACCGTAGGGGCAGGCTGACTCTGGCGCGGGAATTCTTAACTGTTTGGAGGTCACAGATCCCTTTGAGAATGAGCTCTCCCCAAGGAACAGCTATTACTTTGGGCACACCATTTCAGGAGATTCTTAGACCCTTCATAAGCCTCTCCAAAGACCACATGGTAGCTCATGAACCGCAGGTTAAGAAGCCGTGTTGCACCTGCTGGACCAGAGGCTGTAGCTACTGAATATTCCCCGCAGCACGCTGGCGGGAGTGCCGAAGATTCGAAGCTGATTAACCGACCCCCCTGCCTGTTCCAGCATGATCCACAGCTCAGGGAGAGCGGTTTGGGGGCTACTACCTTCTCTCACAGGGTCTAGAGCTTCTCTTCTCTGAATACGTAGGTCTGTCCTTAGGATTAGCTCCCTTAGGGCTGAGGTTCAGGTTCAGGATCCTGCGTGATCCAAGAGCAGCTACTGGCTGAGAGACAACCAGGCTCGCCAAGAGGGAGTGCCAAGAGGTATGCTCTAGGGGAAAGAGCCAGAAGAGAAGAAAAAGGAAGCAGGGCCATCACAGTAAACAGGAAGCACAACTGTTTGTTCTAAAGAGAAAAAGCAAGATGGTGTCTGATCTGGGGATGCAGTCACCAATGGTTGGCCTTTGAGATGAGGACTGAGTGTTTATCTTCTGCAGATCTCCACAGAGCCCGGGAGAAACAGACAGCCTCTTTCACCCTGCTTTGTAAGGATGCAGCAGGAGAGAGCATGGGCAGGGGAGGAGACAGCGTGCACGTCGCTGTAGTCCCCAAAGATAAGAAAGACAGGTTTGTATTACACAGTCAGGTGTCAGGGGTCATAGGGGGTGATGAAACTGGAAACTTGAGGCCCTTCCCAGTAGTGATAAAACTGCATGGTTAGATCCCACTCCCCTGACGCTGTTAAAAAATGTGATATGACCTGTTGGAGCAGATGTGTTTTCTTGTGTGGGTTTTATGCCAGTACTCAGTGCTCTGCCCTTCAGATTGTCTGAAAAATATTCTGTGTTGGACTGAATGGCCCCCTTCTCGAAATTCAGCCCCACTTTGCTACTACATTGTGCTGGGAGTGTATTTTTATGTCTCTGGAATCAGGAGAGAGGAGAGAGCGGGAGGGTACGACAGGAACCCCTCAAAGAACACAGTAACGCTTTCAAGGAACTCATCTGTACATCAGGTTGGATCAGCATTTATGCCGCTTCCCTTCTGCTGTAAAATTAATTTTTGAGACCAGTGGAAGAAGTGTCCTGCTGGGGGATATTTCAAATTAATGTCGGGTTGAATGGTGTAGAGTTTACACCCTACAGTAGCGGGCAGTTGCGGCGGGCTTGTGAGAGTGAGTGGTTATTGAACTCCATGTGCATTCAGTCCGGTCAGAACGCTGGTACAAGATAACAAGGACGGGACGTACTATGTCTCCTATACTCCCAAGGAGCCTGGCGTCTATACCGTGTTGGTCCGCGTCAAAGAGCAGCATGTGCAGGTAAGTGAGTGGGACCCACGTGTGTGCCTCCCTGGGCTCCTTTCCCCTTGGCTCCTCTCCCCTTGGCTCCTCTGGCTTCTACCATCTCAGGATGCGGGGACATGTCTCATAGGATCAGCTGTATGGAGGGGCCGACTAGAATTCTCTTTTTTACTCTGCTCACATTAGAAATGACCCAGACTTTGCTACTTTTAGCCTTACTAAAGGATGCTGGTGACCAGAAGAACCCTATCCCTACTGTACCTCCTGGCAGTTAGGCTTGCCTTTCATCATTCTCCCAGTTGGAGACTTCTTGATTTGGGAAAGATACCTCAGTCACAGCGGGCGGTCTGCCTGGGAACAAGTATACACATTCAAGCAATATAATCTAGCTCGGCATTTTCCAGCTTTCTTCGGACTGTGACCGGACGTACTGGAACTTACTGTAACGCAGTTTGGGAGAGTTAGGCCCTCTCCCCTCAACTGACCAGTCTTCTCTCTGCCTGGCCATCTGCCCGCGTCACTCTTCACATACGTGCTTAGCCATTACCAGGGTTACCACACGACCTCCGCAGCAAGGGTAACACCTTCTGGTTTAGAGATTACAAATTTTTAAAAATTGGGCAATACTCAGCATGTCCAACAGAATCTCAAGTAGTCACAGGTGTTCCCCGACCAGAAAGCAATACTGACAGGGACAATAAAATACCATAGTGTCGTGATATGTTGGGCCTGTGGCGTGTGCACCAGGAAGACTCCTATTCAGCAGCCACTTCCTGCCTGTCTAATGACGGCACGCTGGGGTGGGCCAGGTCCCTTTGCAGACATTCTCACACCTTTTTTCCAAACTGTTCAGGCATAGCGATCATTGTCCACTCGGACTGAGAAACAAACTTGCTGAAATACACAGTCCCTGTATAGCAGGATCAGAATTTGAACCCATTTCTTTGAACTCTGCTTTGTTTTTAAAACAGATCATAGGGGCACCTGGGTGGCTCAGTTGGTTAAGCGGCCAGCTTCAGCTCAGGTCATGATCTCGTGGTCCGTGAGTTCGAGCCCCACGTCGGGCTCTGTGCTGACAGCTCAGAGCCTGGAGACTATTTCAGATTCTGTGTTTCCCCCTCTCTCTCTGACCCTCCCCCGTTCATGCTCTCTCTCTTTCTCTTTGTCTCAAAAATAAATAAATGTTTAAAAAAAAAACCAGATCATAAACTAGGGGCGCCTGGGTGGCTCTGTCGGTTAAGCAACTGACTTCGTCTCAGGTCATGATCTTATGGTCTGTGAGTTCGAGCCCTGTGTTGGGCTTGGTGCTGACAGCTTGGAGCCTGGAGCCTGCTTCAGATTCTGTGTCTCCCTCTCTTTCTGCCCCTCTCCCCCTCCCCACTCTGTCTCTCTTTCAAAAACAAATAAAGATTAAAATAGATCATATACTCTTCAAGGGAAGAGAGATGGAACATTTGAAAGGCTTCTAAGGTGCCACGCTCCTCTGCTTGGTGCTTTTGCAGACAGCACAGTTCCCACCCAGGGGCAGGCACGTAAGCAACACTTATTAAATATTTGTGGTCTAACGTAGGATAGAAACTGGAGAGTGGAAGTTGTCCTTGAAGGAAAGGGGCAGGCAGGTAGGAGAGTTTCTAATTTGAGAATTACTCACCTCTCTCCCTTGCCTGTATCCTCATAGACCTAGACTAAGTGGATGGGTAAATGGATATGTCCAGGGGGGACGGGTGGAAGGAAGGGAGTGACGGCCCAGCCTCGGGGTTGCAGCACACCAACACCCCTCCGGGACAGAGAAGACCGTGACATCCGTGACGCAGGAGCACAGATTGGGTTTACTTGTGTATCAGGTGGGCCACGTGCCAGAAGTGCCACACACATTCCTCGACTCTCACGGCATCTGTACCTGGCGCCATCCAGCCGAGCACCCAGCTAGTTACCGTCCCTAGTCTGTTTCCCTGCCGTGGTCCCTGTCCTCCACGGCCAGGCCCTGGGACTCACACCGCATTTAGCACATGTGACACTCAGCACACCCCTGTTGACTCATAAGGTGCCGTTCTCTGCTCTTGGTCTAAACACTGAAGGGCTCACCATTCACTGTGACCGTGAGGAAAAGGCATCGCTCACACACAGGCGTGTTTCACTGCTGCACGTTCTGCTCCAGCGGAGGCCAGAAAACGGCTCGCTGTGCCTGTGGAGGCACCATGCCAGGTAAGGAGGCTCACTCTCCAAGTCCTGCCCCTGTGGGCCTGTCTCCCAGCAGTGGGGGTCACCTACCGCACAGCCACTAGGTTTAGGATGTTCAGACATAGGCTTTCTTGCTGGGAATATAATCTGTGCCTGTAAATATACCACAGTTCTAGAAGTTTCACTTAACGCTTCTTTATTCTGAAAAGTGAAATCGTAAGCTGAAAAGTTCGGAGTTCTTTTAGTTTTGATACAGTTCGCCAATCTTATGAGCCCTGTGCTCCTCCCCAGGACTTTTGATTTCCATCTGTACCCTTTCCCGCAGCCTGGCACTTAAAAACTATAAGTCTACTCTGTTCCTTTTAAAACCTTAAAGAAATTCCAAGCAAGGCAGGGATGGGGAGAAGGTCTGGCTCTTTCTTTGGGGCTAGGGGCATCAGCTCAGGCAAGAGATCTAATTATTTCTTTTAAAGTATTCTACTGTGTTTGTGCTCTGATGGTGGGCCTTAAGATGGGCTCAGGCACCGTTTTGCATAAACACTACAGGAACTACGTTCTTTTTTACTTCTGCCACTCTTCCCTTCTCTCTTATTTCAATTCTTTTTCAGTGAAAATCCAAACCAGCTTATCTCCTTGAGTTAGCAGAACGTTAAAACAACACTCTTCTTTTTTTAAAAAAAAATTTTTTTTTCAACGTTTATTTATTTTTGGGACAGAGAGAGACAGAGCATGAACGGGGGCGGGGCAGAGAGAGAGGGAGACACAGAATCGGAAACAGGCTCCAGGCTCCGAGCCATCAGCCCAGAGCCTGACGCGGGGCTCGAACTCACAGACCGCGAGATCGTGACCTGGCCGAAGTCGGACGCTTAACCGACTGCGCCACCAGGCGCCCCAAAACAACACTCTTCTTAGCACTTCGGCTAACTGACAGTCTTAACTGACTGTCTTCAGCCCTTGGGAGTCCTCCTGCTATGGAGGTGACAGTTTGTTCTCCTCACCGGGTTCTTACTAAACGTTTTCACATCCATGAGTCTAAACGTTGCCAGAAGCTTTAGTTTCCCTGGTGAACTTCTGGACTTCACTCTAATGGCTGTCTTCTGTCTCCTCTCTGAACCACCATGCAGGTGGGTACCTGGGCTGTGGCCACGGACACAAAGGTCACCCAGGCCGCCCGCACTGGTCATGCTGCGGGAAGTTTGCTGAGAAGTCGGAATGCACATGGACAGGTGGGGAGAGTGCACCAAGGAGTCTACTCAGGACCGTAGCCCTCTGATGCTTTCCTGGCTATGCGGTCAGCTTGTCCAAGCGGTGCCCAGCGCAACTTCAGATGACCAGAGGACCCCAGACGTTAATTCTGAAGAATCTGATAGAATTAAAAACAAAGTGCCTTGTCTTATACTCTCGAGTTCCAAGTCCTTTTTTGTCAGTTCCTCACTGATCATCTGTGTGGATGGCTGAGCACAAGGGACCAGCACATTTCTCTTCGTGGTGATTGGCAGTGTTCGCTCTTTTGTACGGGAACCAAGGGATCTGTGCAGTTGGAACTTCTATCATGGGGATGTTTAGTTCCTTACTTTTTTTGTTTTTGTTTTTAATGTTTGTTTATTTTTGAGAGAGAGAGACAAGGTGTGAGTGGGAGAGGGGCAGAGAGAGAGAGAGGGAGACACAGAATCTGAAGCAGGCTCCAGGCTCTGAGCTGTCCACACAGATCCCGAGGCAGGGCTCGAACCCACGAACCACGATACCATGACCTGAGCCGAAGTCGGACGCTTAACCAACTGAGCCACCCAGACGCCCCTAGTTCCTTACTTTTGAATGCGTAACTCTTTTCCTTCTCCCTGAGCCACATTTTTGCTATCTTCATCAAGGAATGAAAGCCTTTCATCATATCCACTTTTTGCTAGCGCACTCTACATGGATTATAATGTGGTCTTGCTGTTCAGGTGGAGGTCCCGGCTTGACCCGTACACCACGCTCATCTCGTACTCGTAAAGCCTGGATTGCTCTTTGGTCAAGGCCATACAAGTAGTAGGAAAATAAAGGAACAGTGTTGAAATACCACCTCATAAATTTATTGCAGTTCTACTCACGTCAGGCAAACTTGATACGTTCATCCTGCTCATATCCCTCAGCCCCGTGTCATTTAGAGAGGAGTCTTCACTTTTGTCCGAAAAGCTAGGGAGTTAACTAGAAGCTTTGAGTCCTACAGTGCACCTGCTTGGCTGTCAGAGAATTCTTGGAAGAGGAAGCACGCAGTGCCGGTGCCTCATCCCTGCCCAGGGCTTCACTGTATATATTTGGTGTTTCCTTCTGGACTCTTGATTTCTTACGTGGCAAAAACTCAGCATGTATTAAGTGTAATTACTGAAATCGGCACCGCAAGATCCATTAAGAAGTAGGTGACTCATTTGAGCAGTGAATTGGGTCAGGCAAAGGAAGTGAAGTTAGCAGATGAAACACACGACTGTCAGGTCGTCATGGAACACGTTCATTTCCTCCTTAGGGCTCACAGATAGGAGCTACGTCGGAGTCGTAAATCCAAAGGTGTTCACTATATTCTCATCCTTTTCTGGGAAGATTCCCCTCCATGCTCTCTAACCCACATCTCATCTTCCCAGAAGACACTGATGGCCCCATGACCCTCATGAAGTGTTAGCTACTTGCTTTTCCTCACTCCTTCCAACTGCTCCAACCAGAGCTCAGGTAGGTGCCCTGTTAGCTCATCATTGCTGCTTTCCGATCAGTGCTTCTCAGCCAGGCGTGACCTTGGGGACATTTGTCCTTGCTACAGCGGGGGCTGGTGCTCGCTCCTAGCATCTATTGGGTAGAAGTCAGGAACTGCTCAGTTTAGGACAGCTTTCTGCAACAAGGAAATATCCAGTCCAAACTGCTAATGGGCCGCTGTTGAGAAGCCCTGTTCCTGGCCATTACCGCTCTTTTTTTTAAAAAAGTGGCCCGCCTTGAAGCTGATGCCTTTCTATAACTGACTGCCCCTCCGTGGTTCAGCATCTACACAGCCCCACATCCCTCCTCGTTCCTTGAAGATTTTAGCACCTAGCTTGCTGCCGCTGCAGAACCAGAGTAATTCAGTATCCACACAGCCTTCTTAATTCCGTGACCCGTTCTCTGCCCTTGTTCCCCCTACCTCAGCCAGTCGGTCACCCCCCGGACCTGGCTGGATTCCAACTGCACCATCTGCAGAGTTTGAATTTCCAGCCTCCTGCGACCACAAGCTCCCATCTCTCTGGCTCACCCGCTGTAATAATCTGACTCTGCTCGGGAACCCACAACGCAGTGCCTCCACGTGCTTCCCACCGTTCCCCTCCTGCCCCCATGTGCCTTCCTTCATCCTCTCTCCGCTTAGATTCTCCAGACCATCATTACAACCTCTCCTGCCTGTGGGTCTCCCTGTCATTCGTGACAAAGCCCCCGCTTGGATCCGACTCTCCACCCAACCCTGCAGAAATGATCTTGGAGAAAAACACAAGAACACGAGGACTAGCCTCACTTTAAATCCACGACCACTAATTTCAGTGGGCCCTTAGCATCGCCCAGTTGCCTGACGACATCTCTCTAGTCTGTTCGCTCCCCCACCCTGAAAAGATGAAATTATTTCTTACTTTCTTCTCAAACTCCCCTTTCCACCCAACTTCCCCTCCCCACTCATGACCCGGCCTCCTATTTCACCAAGAAAACCAAAGGATTCAGAAGAGAATCCCCTACCTTCCCACCACATCTACGCATCTGCTGGTATTTGTGTCAAAAGCAAACCTCTATACACGTGGGGTCTGCACTAGACCCCACTCCCATCTCTCCAACCCAGGAACCTTGCTCCCAGAACTCCCCACTCTGCTCACTGCCCGTTTCAGAAAATAAACATGCTACAGTATTCCCCCGCCCCACTCTCCAAACAACAGGTTTCCCTTGATTTTTGTATTAGTCTGTTGGGGCTGCCATGACCAAAACCCGCAGACTGTGGGGCTCAAACAACAGAAATTTCTTTCTCCCATTTCTGGAGGCTGGAAGTCCAAGATGGAGGCCGGAAGTCCAAGATGGAGGCCCTTCTCCCTGGCTTGCAGATGACTGCTGCCTTGCCTCCATGCAGATACGTACATCCCTCATGTCTCCTTCTCTTCTTATAAGGACACCGGTCCTACTGAATTAGGGCCTGTACTTCTCACCCCATTTGACCTCAGTTATTTCCTTAAAGGCCCTGTCCCCAAATACTGTCACACTGGGGATTAGGGCTTCAACCTATGAATGGCAGGGGGCGGGGGGGGGGGCGCGGGCGCAAAATTCAGTCCATCAAATCTTTCATTACCCTGACAACCACTCCATTTTTCTGCTTCCCTTTTTAAAAACCTCGAAAATAATTGTTGTTTGCTATCCCTGCTTGTCCTTGCACCCTCTCTTAGATCTAACCCAGTCAGCCCTTCTTCCTCACCACTCCACTGAAAACACTTATCAAGGTCCCCAGTAATGTCCACATTACGGAATCCAATGATCAGTTCCCAATGTTTCCATCAACAGCATTTAACACAGCTGATCACTTTCCCCTCCTTGAAACGTTCTCTTCCCCTGGTTCCCGTGGCATCATTCTCCTTAATCGTCCATCTCACTGACTTTCCCTGACTTTTCATCTTTGCCAGTTCCTCCTCGTCTCCCCAAGCCCTACACATTGGACAGTCCAAAGGATCCGTTCTTGCATTTCCATTTCTTCCCCCTCCCTTGGCTATCTCATCCCCTGCTGACCTGCTAAATACCATTTAGACACTGGTAACTCCTACGTTTATCTCCTCCAAATTCCAAAGGATTATATCCAGTGGCTCACCCCCTCTACTTGGATGTATCACAGGCACCTCAAATTCCAGATGTCCACAGCAGAACCCCTAGTTTCCAGTTCTCACTTCCCACCTGCCTACACTGCCAACCTGCTTCTCCTGCAGTCTGTTCTGCCTCTTTAAAAGCAAAGCCCCAATCCATTCTTACAGGCGGTAGAGCCCATGGCCCTGCAAACATGCTTGACTCCCCTCTCGAGCACCATATCCAATCCATGGGCGAGTCCTTTTGGCTGTCCCTTCAAAATACACCCCCGGAGCACTGCTACTGTCCTGGTGTAAGACACCAAGATTCCTCCCCTGCCTTCCTCCCCTACTCATTTCCCTGCTTTCAACCCCCACCCCCTCCTGGGGCCTGTTCTCCCCTCAGGAGTCAGAGGGGTCCTTCTGAAATACCTTGGATTATGTCACTCTTCTGCTCAACACCCGCCAATGGCCTCCCATCTTACTCAGAACAAAGCCAGCGTTTACAGAGGCCTCTAAGAGCCTGCACCCCAGCTCCCTGCTCTTGTCTCATTTCCTACCCCCATCCTTCCGTCACTCTATTCCAGCCAGACCCACCTGCCCCGGGCTCCTCAAACTTCTCCAAGTAGTCTGTCTAGCAGCCTTTACAATCACTGCCCCTCCATCTGGAGTGCTCTTCTCACAGACACTTAATGATTCACTCTCTTTCTCCTCAGGTTTCTGCTCCTGTGTCAAACATCGCATCTGAGCAGTCTCTAGCTACCTTGGATAAGATAGCATCTCCCCACCCCAGGACTCTGTATCACCCTTATTCGGCGTCCTCACCACCTCACACACATACTCTACTTGTTTAATGTCTGTTCTCTCATATGACACTCGGCTCTGTGAAGACAGGGACTTGACATCATCGATTATATTGTCCCCATGTAGGACAGTTCCTGGCACACAGAAGAGGCTTAATCATTTTGTTGAATAAAGGTATCATTTGGTGCACGTTTTAGTTTGGATCTCCTTGTATCTGTTTCTACAAGCCACACTGCCCTTCCCCCAAACTCCAATATTTGTCATGTCACCAAATCCCACTTGGAAAAAAAAAATCGCAGCCTTCTCTCAAACCTGCTCTGTAGATTATATGCACCTTGGGAACCAGCCTTGAATTTTCCAATTACCTCAGACATCCAGGGGATAGCTTTGCCATGAAGAAGCCTGTTGTATTACATCATTTCTCCCTGTGTGTCTTTTAATGAATCAGATTTCAGAAGTCAGGATAAAAAGCTTACCATTCATTTCAGTTGGGAAAAGGGTCTGGTAATTGTATAACTCTACTATAGATGAAATTATATTGCAACAGAAATTTTCTAGGAGACATCCAGGTTCTGGCAAGTGCCCTCGCCTTTAAGCAATGTTAATAGTAACAATTCGGAAACAAACAGCATGACAGTTTGTGTGGGAGGTGGGGGGGGGGGGTGGCCTGTTCATTGGCCTGCGATACAACGGAGTCTAAACTCAATTCAGTTGCCCTGCCAGCAAAGTTAAGAGTAATCTGCAGAGCCCAAGATCCCCAAGGTGAGGAAAAAACAAAGTCTGAGGGTTTAGGAATTGTCCCCAGTGTAACAAAGTGCTTCGGAAATCACTCTGGAGTTGTGAGCGCTGAAGCATCAACCAGGTGCAGCGTTATGATGTTAAATTTGATCTGTGGTTTACTGGTAAGTAAAACGAGGGCCTCCGTCCCTTGGGACGCCCTAACAGGATAAACACGTTGGCTGCCTTAGATCATAAACACACACGTATACCTGTCAGCCCACCCACTCCAATCTCTAAAAAGCAACCGTCACTCAGCTTTCCTGCAGAGGACGTATCCCTGCCGAGTTTGTCTCAAGAGGTGGTCGGGTAAAGCGAATGCCAACTGACGCAGAATACAGAAAGAGGCATTTCACTCGGCCTTGTTAGCACCCACGTATGGATTTCAATTCCGTCATCACTTCCCTAGGCTTCCCTGACCGGTTCCTGTCCTAGCTCCTTGCTCTAAGCCCTCCCAGCTACCACCGCTCTCCACTGCACACCACTGTCCCTTCACAGCCGTATGTGATGTGATTAATGCCCGCCTCCCCTGTGAGACTGTAAGCCTCAGGGAGGACAGGGACTGTGTTGGCTTTTGCTTGCCCTTTTACTTTCAATGCCCGGCAGTGCCTGGCACACTTCACGTATATTTTGGAATGTATGAAGGACTGAGCAGTGGAAATAGTCTCTCCATCCTACCTTTTATACCTAATCTCTACCTACACTCAGATTAGCTAAGGATTCTGGGTAAAAAAGGACTCAAGCTAGTAAAGAGGTCATGTGACTGCAAGTCTGTCTCCCCTGTTTGCCCCCGAGGGGCCAGGCCCTAGGGGCCATTTCCTTCTCCATCCTGACCGACGGACTCTTGTGGCACTTTGTGCTATAAGGGATCCTAATTTCATGTTTATTTCTGCAAACATTTTCTTCTAGGTTACATGCTTAGGAATTCCAAGTTCTCATTATCATTCTTTGTGCCTGCAGCTATGCTTTTTACATTCCTCCTGCTTTTTCTCCGCGCTAGATGCTAGATGGCAAATAGCAGTGCAATACCCCACTTTGTAAACCCAATTCTCCCAAGGCATCATGGTCAACATCAAGATTCCAGACAACCGCAGAGGTCATACGGAACACCGGTGACTCCATGATTGTCCTATTAGTAGGGAAGAATCTGGCTTCGCCTTTGAGCCTTGGTGCAGGCCACTTCATCAGGCAAGAGAGAGAATCAGAGAGTAAACAAGTCAGGGTTCGTGTATAGCAATTCTAAGTCACACACACGAAACTGCTAGGGAAAAGGGCCATATTCCACAAAGATATCATCCTACCTATTGCTGGTCATAACGACTGCGTGGCAACAGGAGCTCTTGGTGGGATCTTCAGAGTCGTTGGTGGGATTTTTAAAGGGTTCAGGATTCCGTCCAGCCATGGCATGCACAATGCCCCCTTTTAAGATCAACGCTGCTAAAGAGAAGTCAAACTGTAAAGCTCCCATCAAGTCACATCTGTCACATAAGAAATACCTTGTAAGTTGGGTGCTCAGCAGTGTTGCCCTTTGGTGACAGATACTCACCATCTGGCTTTCAGCTGCACCCATGCTCCTGTCTTACTCTCACTCCCAGACCTGGTCCCACAGCGGTAACACTAGCACTTGTACGACACTTCCACAGCGTACAAAGCATTTAGTACATCGTTCTGTCCTTGCCCGAGTCCAGTAAGGTAGGCAGGCAGCCGTAAGAAGATAATCTGGCAGTAAGGGTGTCACATACAGAAGTCTGGTTGACACCGGCAGAACCCCAATTCGATCACTAGTATGGGATGCTGCCTGTTGCTAGAGGGTGTAGAGGCCCATCATGTCATGCCCAGGCCTTAAGAAACTGACTCACAGTGACTAAAATCAATGTGGACCTGAGAGGCACCAGAATGCTACTTAACATTAATCACAAGAAGTTTCTACTCCAGGACTAGGATGTAAGAATGCATGGTTTGGGGGGCACCCGGGGGGCTCAGTTGGTTAAGCATCCGACTTTGGCTCAGGCCACGGTCTCATGCTTCATGGGTTTGAGCCTTGGGTCAGGCTGTGCTGACAGTTCAGAGCCTGGAGCCTGCTTTGGGTTCTGTCGGTCTCTCTGACCCTCCCCCACTTATGCTCTGTGTCTCTCAAAAATAAATAAATATTAAAAAAAAAAAAAAAGAATGCATGGTTTGGTATATTCCATCCCATTGAAACAACATTCCAACTTTTTCTGTGTCTACTTCATGCCAATAGCATCTCACTAGTATAGGAATACTTACCCAGGACATAATTATATGGCTTTGCTAGCTTAGAATCACAAGGAACACTACAGAAACTGGTTAAGGTATCAGACGGGATCTTACAGATTACATGTCAGTGGGCTCTGAATACCTGAAGATTGTATGTTATAATCCCTGCATCCATCTCCAAACTAAAGCAAAAATGCTTGGCCCTTGGGGTGCCTGGGCAGCTCAGTCAAATGTCTGACTCTTCATTTTGGCTCAGGTCACAATCTCATGGTTCGTGAGATCGAGCCCTGCGTCAGGATCTACACTGTCAGCCTGCTTGGGATCCTCTCTCCCTCCCTGTCTCTCTACCCCTGTGTACCCAGCTCATGCCTGTGCACACGCTCTCTCTCAAATGCGTAAACCTCAAAGCTAACAGTGCCTCTGTCCTAAACAGTACTTGGAATGCATAGTGTTCCTCTAACAGGCCTTCACACTGACACGACTGCCTTCCATTTAGTCAGATGGGTTAGAGCGTATGTATTAGTTACTAAATTCCCAGTGGCACATAATGAGATGTTAATCCATACACCTTACAGATGACAGAGCTGAGGCGCCCAAGGAATCTGTAAATGGCCTAATACCAGACAATCAGCAGAGAGAGGAGCGGGGCTCTATGCATTCTCGCCAGCCTGGGAGCCATTGTTACTGGGGGCTGTATCTTTGCCTCGGTGTGTTGAACTTTTAACAAAACCTGCAAGAAAGGGCAATCTTACTTCCTTCATTTCCTGATCTCATCAGGGACCTCACTCTAGTTGCTGAGTTCTGAAAATAATACTCACCTTACAAACGGGGCAACCAAAGCGCAGAGAAGTTAATGATCTTGTACAGGGTTTATGCCCCCAGCTAAGACGAACCTGGAACTTGACTCAAGACTAAGTTCTACGCCAGAACGCTTCCTACCAGGCCGTGCTGTTTTTGCCTTTGTAGGCTTTTAGTCCTTGTCCTCAGCACCCTTGCTTACTCAGGCTCAGGTGCCTTGGTCCATACTGTGGCTGGGTCAACAAAGGGCTTCATCTCCTAACTCTAATTTAAATGAGGGCAATAGTTCTATCTAGGACAACCACAACCCTTTCTAGCAGAAATTACCAGACGTGTTTTGGAAATGATTGCTAATGGGAAGAAGGAAACATGGACAGTCTCTCCAAGTATACAAGTATCACGAGTTTATGCTAGATTACTCACTGCTATATGAACAACCCCAAAATCTCAGTGGCTTAAAAAAATACTATTTTCTGATCCTGTGACAATCCAGTGTGGGTGAGCAGGGGTGAGGGGTGGGGCACACATGGGGAAGACTTTGTTCCATTGAGGAAGTGACACTTGCTAGTCTGCCAAAGGGGTCCATGGGCCAGAAGTAGGATAAGAATCCCTGACCTAGAGGCTTCTCTAGGACTCTGTAGGTGTCCATCAGTTCCTTGCATCTGGTGGGCCGATGAGGGAAGAAACAGCTTGATGAGTCATTGAAGCTTGAGAGGGAGGTAAGAAATGACCCACATCACTTCTCTCCTCATTCCATTGTCTAGAACTCAGTAATACGGGCCCATGTGACTGCAGTGAAGACTGGGAAATGTGGTCTCTCTGGGTGTCCGGGAAGAAGAGGCTGGGTGAGCACACAGCATTATCTTTGCTACAGCGTCGGGCACACATTTATCGGGTTAAACCAACCGTCATACAAATACTAAAGGATATGATGGCAGAAATACTACCATGATCTAATACTAAGTGAGACTGTGATACAAAGTGCTCCAAATATTGTAAATCTGTAAAAATGCAAACACAGGCATACCTCGGATATTGCCGATTCGGTTCCAGACCGCCACAGTACAGCAAATATCACAGTAAAGTGAGTCAGACGAATTTCTTGGTTTCCCAGTGCATATAAAAATTATATTTACGCCATACTGTAGTCTGTTACATGTGCAACAGTATGTCTAAACGACATATATATTATATGTTAATTTAAAAATCTTTTATTGCTAAAAATGCTATCATCTGAACTTTCAGCGAGTCGGTGGAGGGTCTTGCCTTGACATGGATCGTGGTGTTGGCTGTGGCAACCTCTTAAGACAACAGTGAAATCTGTCGTAACTCACAAACAATTTGTCTGTAGCTTGTGATGCAGTGTGACCGCATCTTACCCACCGCAGGACTTCTTTCAGACTTGGAGTCCATCCTCTCAAACCCTGCTGATTTATCAAGTAAGTTTCTGGACTATTCTAAATCCTGTATTGTCATTTCGACAGTCCGCACAGCATCCTTACCAGGAGCAGATTCTATCTCAAGAAACCACTGTCTTTGCTCATCCATCAGAAGCAGCTCCTCATCTGTTCAAGTTTGATCATGAGATCCCAGCCATGCAAATATAAGGAAACGCCTGAAACATTGTTACCGAACTGTGACGCAGACAGGAAGTGAGCAAATGCTGTTGCCAAGAAATGCAGTATCCACAAGGCGCCATGAAGGGAGGTCTGCCTGTACTGTAAAAAACGACACATAGCAGGGACGCCTGGGTGGCTCAGTCGGTTGAGCGTCCGACTTCGGCTCAGGTCATGATCTCGTGGTCTGTGGGTTCGAGCCCCACATCGGGCTCTGTGCCGACAGCTCAGAGCCTGAAGCCTGCTTCGGGGTCTGTGTCTCCTTCTCTCTCTGCACCTCCCCTGCTTGCACTTGCTCACTCTCTCTCTCAAAAATACATAAACATTAAAAAAACACACACACACACATAGTCCATTTTATTTCACAAGTAGCACATGGTATCACAGTGACAGGAAACAGTGGAACAGCACTAGGTGAAACGATACCAAATACTGAATGCTGTGATGATGCCCATAACAGACACCTGCTCACGTACGAGGCACCTCCTTGGTCTCACGCCTGTGAGGGAGAACTGTTTGGTGGAGGCAGCTACAGAGGCATGGCCGCGGGGTCCCCTCTCTGCTCCGCCCAGGGACATGTTAAAAGGAGCAGCCTCACTGGCGGGAGAGGGACAGATGGCACGGAGCTGGGACACTGGTCCCCCCTGAGCTGAGAAGAGAAAGGCAACAGACGGCGTTTTGAGCTTTTACTGAAGCTTTCCTACAACTGTCCTGGCGTTGGTTCCCAAAATTCTTGAACTCTCAGGCATTTTCTTTTTTCTGAAGTAGTTCATTAGTTTCTCTGTCACTCTTAAATAAGTCGATTGATTAACCTGACTGACTCACCAATTAGTTAACATGGTAACTGAGGCTCGATGACGCCTCCTTCCAGGGAGGGCCTAGGGCCAAGGAGGGCTCGGAGGGTCACGTGTAGGTCGCTCTCCCAGATCCTAACACAAACCAACAGCAGCACTACCCTGAGCCCGGTAAACAGGAAGTTAGATGCCAAAAAGGACTTTGAGGTCAGCCAACGTGAGCTTCTTGACAGATTTTCCAGATCCCGATAGAACCTGTTTGGCCAAAGTTTTCTTTTTTTCTTGAAGGTGTAAGATCTTTTCTTCCACTGTTCCCTCACAAATAAACCTAAAAGAATAGATATGTAACAAACACCCAAAACAGCATATTTAATATAACACGTTCAAACTTCTACCCAAGGCTTTAGTTTTTTGTTTTTTTTTTTTTTAATTTTTTTTTTCAACGTTTATTTATTTTGGGGACAGAGAGAGACAGAGCATGAACGGGGGAGGGGCAGAGAGAGAGAGGGAGACACAGAATCGGAAACAGGCTCCAGGCTCTGAGCCATCAGCCCAGAGCCTGACGCGGGGCTCGAACTCACGGAGCGCGAGATCGTGACCTGGCTGAAGTCGGGCGCTTAACCGACTGCGCCACCCAGGCGCCCCAAGGCTTTAGTTTTTAAGATTTCTTCCTTTAAGTCTTCTCAGGTTTAGTTAAAAACTCCACGCTTAGAAGACCCAAACAACCTTGACTAAGTATGTGCCCATTTAAAATGATGTGACGTAAATTATTTTGCGTTTCTTTCTGAAGCTGAGGTAACTGAAAAAATGCCAAAATAAGCCAAAGATATCTCCATCCAAAACTGTAGAGATCAGCTTCCACCCAAAAAGCTCAATCTTGATCCAGTCAGAAGGCCTGAAAGCTTATCGAGTTTCTGCTAGGTGTATGTGTGCTGGTGTGAGTGCAGTGTCTCATTTCTTGGCTAATTCACACCGAACACAGGCTGTACAACCTGAAGAACTGCCACTGTTGTCATTCACTCGTTCGACACGCACTGATTCGGCATTTACAACATGCCAGGTGTGTAGGAATGGAGGGATGGGTATCTTGTGCTCTCAAAGAGCACACAAAGAAGAGAGACCTGAAAATAAACACGAGGCAGCTGGAAAGTGCTACAGAAATGTGCCCAGTGTGCACAAAGAGTAGAACATGGAGTGTCGGAGAAAGAGCAGGCTGTCCAGTCTGGCCAGGGCAAAAGTCAAAAGGACTCCGCCATGTTGTACCGCAATGGCAGAAGCTCAAGAGGATGGCAGGGACCACTTTGTGAGCGGCTTTGCGTGTCACGCTAAGAAATTTAGATTTGGAAGAGGGTAGTGGCAGTGCGGAGGGAAAGGAAGGGATGGTTGTAACAGACATTTAGAAAATGAAATTAATGGACTTGGTATGTGAAGAGAAAAAAGGGAGGAACATAGTCTGTGGCTCCAGAGTTGGATATTCACAAAGACAAGGAATTCAGAAGCATCAAGAGACATGAGGCTATGGTATCCCATTTCCGTCTGCGACATTCTGAGTGCCTGGAA